GTAGCTGCATTCAGAACCAAGTTGTGTCAAAGACTGCAAATATGCCACACACATTCATTTATCACATTATTTATAACTCTTCTGCAGATTGTATGAAATCATTCTTTGCTTGTGGAGCAGGTCTCACAGAATAGCCAAAAAACAGCCAACATTCCCCGTATATCATGGTCAAAGTAGGTTACCTCTTTTGCTGCCACTCCACTGATATTATGCCAGTAGTCCAAGCTTAGTGAAGGACAGAGGCAAAATAGGCATTAATGCTTAATCTTTATGAATGGTCAGATCAAAGAATGAAACTCCAAGAAACAGTGGCCAAGGAACAACGTCACACATCTGAGCAGAAGAGGAAAAAGAAAGGAGAAGAAAGGAAAGAAACCATGCATGAGATAAACATGGATGAAAAAGAGGACAACTGGTGTGAAATGCCATTGTTTGCACTCAGATCCACTCCTTCAAGTGTGCCAGTCAATCAGGTAAAAAAGCTGCAAGAAGTATTGAATCAATGCTAATTATTTAACAAAATAATGATAACAGTGTATAGGCAGCAAGCATACTCTTTGCTTATCAAATGACTTGACCGTATTAATATGAAATGGAGTGATAGTTTCCTTCTACAGTTTCTTGCTATGTGCAATAGCTGATGAAATAACATTGTGATTTATACAAGGTTCAAAGCCATTAGCTTTCAGAATTGGACTTGACTACCAAAAGGGCCACTGTGGCTTTTGATGTATTAAACTTTATATCTTGCCTTTAGACTGATAGCTAGCCATTAAGCAAAACATTAAGTTAAATCTGAACTCCTGTAAATATTTATAGTATATTGGCATGCAAGAAAAATTTCTTCCCAAGTTCTAGCAGTGCTGAAAGGGCTTCCATGAATTTTAAATGCTAACTTCAAACTAGAATAGCACTATATGCAAAAGGAAAATGTTTTACAAAATGACAGCTGCTTTGGCTAGGGTACAATTAATTAAAACCATCTAATCAGATCACACAGAAAACAGAATGCTTTTAAAATTCAGTTTAGCCAGACTTGGCTTCATGGTGGCATATCTGAAAAGAATTAAAATCAATTCAGAGTGAGGGAAAAGCTTTGTAAATTATGCAAACTTGTATCAGAAGTCACTAAGATCTGTGAGCAGCTGTTTCATATGGTGAGCCACTGAACTGCAGGTGGAAACTTTCACTGAAGCACCCTCAGGCCCTGGATTGATTCTGACTACTCCAGAAAGTGGCTGTCAAGGAGAAGTACAGGAGAGCCTCCATATCAGTTGAGCCTTTCTTGAGTAACACAATTTTCCTGAACTCTGGTTTGTTCCTATACCTTTTGTTGTTCTTGTTCCTGGCATCTGGACTGTTCCTTGGGTCTGGCTTACAGTTTGTTTTCCAGTTCTGACTTGTTTGTCAGCCTTGACTATGGGTTTTCTCCTATCTCTTGGTTCTTGGCATGCCTCAGACTGCTGTGCACTGCACAGGAGTGTCAAAAACACGTTCAAAGCAATCTCTGAAATACTGTCAACAAAGAAGGACACCATGGTGATGCTGAAGGGTATTCTGGAAAACAATAAATACTTTCAACTGAGTCCCAATTTTTATTTACTTCAAAATTCCTCTCATGGCTAATATAAGAATCTTACAATCTCCATGAAATTGTATTTAGTGCAAACATTGGTATCAACTCTAGGAAGATAACTTTCAGGAATCCAGGATGGTAGGCTAAACAAAGACTATTTACTTATTCGTACACAAAAATATTATTTTCCCACTTCTTTATGAATACCAATCTTCAGTGAAATTACTCAACTTTTTGGAACATGCCTTTTTCCCCATCCCAATGAAGTCAGGACTATAGATAAAATGGTAATCAGTCACTTGTAGGCTGTAGCACAAGAATATCACGTACTCTACAGCTTGAAGCAGTATTTAATGTGACACAAGCACGAACATAAATTATCTCTTACTAGTATAAGGGACCGTTAGCATACTGCCAATAGCAATAGTTAGTGTGGTGGGGTTCCCTGAAAAACCAGTTGTGCCAGTTAAAGCTACTGGCGTTGCACTTCAAGTCTCTTATGGTAGTGCAATGTAACTTACATTAGCATTTTTGTCCTTATGGACACTTCTGCAAAGTGTAAAACAACTCTGCAAACATATTTTGTTAAATTTAAAAGTTCAGAACAAATTAAGGAATATACGGAGATTGGAAATATGAGAAATTTAAGATTTTGAAAATGCATACACAAATGGTTGGTTTCTCTTCTCTCCTTGTATCTTTCCTATAGATAAAAATGATTAAGAACAGCTCACAATCTGTTATTCTCACACAAATAACAATCCTGAAAATGTATGCAACTGATGGCAAGAAATGGGGTTGAAGTTCAGTTGCAGAGCACATGTTCTGCATAAAAAAGACCCTGAGATCTCCATGTAGGCCTGTTGGGGTGGCAGGGAATCTGGCCTGAAACCCTGGTGAGCTGCTGCCAGCCAGTGCAGAGAATACTGAACTGAATGGACCAAGGGTCTGACTCAGCATAAAGCAGTTTTCTATGTTTCAGTGTCATTCACTGCGCAAGAAGAAAGCAAAATAGAAGAGACAGTATTTTGGACAAGTACAGATTGTCAAGAGGTTGTCTTGAGTGCCTTTGTGTCTTTTCAAGAGAAGTAATAACATATACTTATTAGGAATGCCTTGAACTGAAAAGCTAACTTTATTCATTTTTTTTTAATTTGAGGTTGATACATATGAAAATCTTGATCTTAAAATATACCTTTTGTGGAACAAATATAAAGAAATCAGTTCCCGATTGTCAGAACTGAGTGGTAAGAATTTTGATTCATTGTTGTTAGTCGCGAAGTCGTGTCCGACCCATCATGACCCCATGGACAACATTCCTCCAGGCACAACATTCCTCCAGGCTTTGGAGGTTGATTCATTAGGCACGTATCTTTGCAGAAATATGACTGGCACTCTGACCTTATATTTCCTTGTGTCAGAGTTTAATTTCAAGGTATTCTTCTCCTTGACTCTCTCTGTTACTCGGATTAATTGTTTCTGTACTTGTATTTCCAAGCATGTGCTTAATGTCTCTGTCCCAGGCATGACTCCCCACACCTTACTCTGTTCCTATAACCTCTTGAAGGGCCATTTCTCATGCTGTGCTGCTATAAGGAGGTATGGTGACCATGTGTGGTTGTCAGAGGACAGTCCTCTGTCGAAAAGCTGTCAAGTCCAGGTCCCATTTAAAGATTAAGCATTATAAGAAGGGAGTGGTCCATAGCACCTGGAAAGCAGAATGAGCAGGCACATGTCACTTGGTCAGTTTTCCCCACTGCATCAAATGAATTGTATATCCATAAAAATTATACTATGCGTGAAGGGTAAGTTGCTAAAAGTGATTTTTTCTACCACTTCCTTCCCATGGTATTTCCCTCCTTCCCTCTGAAAGCACTTCAAATGACTCAGGAGACCCTACTGAATGAGAATCCCTGCAAATCAGGCAAAAGCAGCTTCCACTAGCAGAGACGTTCCTCTCACAGAACACAAATCCTGGCTCCAACCCATTATTTCTAAATTTTCAGCTTTTCATAGTTACCATAAGCTGCTTTGTGTGTTCCTTTGTATGTTCCAATGGTTTCCCCTGCATAGCTGAGCTCCCGAGACCAGTGCGTGAGCTCATGGAAACAGTGGAAATCATCCATGCAGTGAAATCGGGAACCAACTTTTCTGTATACCAGTGGTTGCTGAGAAGAGGCAGGGGGCTGATTCGGAGGGAGAAAGTGGTGGGTGGAAAGGAGCACCGGGCCCCTTCCTTGTCTATTTTTTCCCTCCCACAGGCCTCCCCCCCATGCACAAAGATGCTTCTCTTCCACATGGTCTCTAAGAATGAAAATAAACACAATGAGGAAAATATGAGAAGGAAAACTAGTAGATGGAGGAAAGTTTGACATCCCCCCCACCCCCTTGCTCATCACTTCACTCTTAGAAATATTCCCTGCTTACTGCTTGGCAGCATTCTGGAATTCAAAAACAGCCACTCGCTTACTTGGAGCCTAGGGCTTGGCTCTTCTGTTCTTCCTCTTCTTCACACTTGGGTCTCATTTTCTGAGAAATGCAGTGCATCTCACCATAATAAGGAAGACTGGGAGCAGGTCATCCATGTGCCTACTGAGCCTCTGTCCAGGTGTGAACCGCTGTTGGTCAGCTGCAGGGCATTGCCATTTTCATGGTTTTTAATCCTGAAGTTGAAGTGCAGTCCTTCAAACAGAGAACATCTCCAAAATTTCTTTACACTGCTATTCAAATAGAGGGCAGTTCTCTTTAATGTAGGACAACCCTACTCTAGATGTTGTTGACCTACAACTTCCATAGTTCCACTGGCAATGCTTGCTAGGACTGGTAGGAGCTGCAGGCCAAACTTCTGGAGGGCCCGCAGTTGCGTACACAAGCTTTCTGAGTATTGTGCTGCATATCTCTCCTCTCCAGACTTTCTTCTCCAATGTGTGAAGTGTGGTGGATCCAGCCAAGAGAGGGATCATTATCCTTCTAATGTGGCTGCCATGGCATGAGGATTAAAGAGCTTGATTTACTGGTTGATTTACAGTACATGGGGTTTAGCTGTTTTCAGGGCCCTTGTCATGGTCCTGTTCCATTCAGGATCTATCCCTTCTACAACCTCATTTAAATAAAAATATACAAGCTGCAGAGAAAATAGCCCTTTAAATTGTTAACATGGAACAGAGGTAAACTAAATATGGAGACAGATCTGCTGCCTTTATTGCTGTTTTTTCCTTCATGCCATGGCACTGTCAGATAAGAGAATGAAAAGGAATTCCTGAAGCTGCCTGGGGATATTTATTTTTGTCAGATGAAGACAAGCTTGCCAGTAATTATGAGAATCCATAAGAATGTGATGTCCAAGTTCAGCTTGAAAATGGCCATATTAAACAACTGGAGGGCTCTGATAGCATATTATGTGACATGCTTTCTCCACCACATCCTCACACTAACAGTTGTCACATTTCCTGCCTGAGCAGAGTAATTATTGTCTCATGGTGTTTCTGTGCTGGAATAGTTTTAAAGTCTTTTAATAAGAAAAAACTGCAGGGTGAAGGAGGCTGGGAATTTATCCAAACAGCCTACAGGTGATATATGGTATACTCAAAGCCATTTTTCACCATTTTCACATACACATTGAGGAAGTTCATACATGTAGTCATAAATCTGTCCTTTTTTTCTGAGGCAGATTAGGATGAGGCAGAGAGAAGTTCTTCTTATAGGATGATCCATCAACCCCAAAGGCCACTGGTAAATTCTCAGGATGCTCTGTGGTCATAGGACAGCCAACAGGGCTTTGAAGTGGTAGATTACGCAGCTCAAAACTCCTCTTAATTTCACCTCTGCCCATTAGTCCAGGGGACACCAACTGAACCCAAGTTAAGATCATAATTCACAAAGTCCTAATTTCTCAGGCATTGTTAGTAGCCACTATTGCTGTTGTTTGCTGTCCAGTTGTCTCCAACTTATGGCAACCTTATGACTGAAAGCCCTCCAGAATGTCCTATCCATGGCATCCTTGCTTAGCTGTTCAAAATTCAAGGCTTGGGCTTCCTTTATGGAATCAATCAATTTCTTATTTTGACTTTTCTTCTTCTTTCTTCAGCTTTCCCTAGCATGACTGTCTTCACCAGTGAGTCTTGCCTTCTCGTGATGTACCCAAAGTAGACAGATCTTATCTAGGACTCTTACATTTGTCTTTCTATAGGTCCAGGTTCACAAAGCTCTCCTCTACCACTGTGTTTTGAATGCATCCATTTTCTTCCTTTCACTTTTCTTCAGTGTTCAGCTTTCACATGCAGACATAGTTTCTAAAGCTCACGGTGGCCACCAAGATCACAGTAGGGCATCTTTTTTGACCCAACGACCAAATTAACTGCCTTCCTTGTTTCCTCATGTCCCTCTCTCTCACACTTTCATACACCCATTGTGAGCTTCACCTGCCCATTAACCTCCCTGAAACTACCAGAGGAAACTGTGAGAGTCACTGTGTGAAGAACTGGCTTTTAAGGTACCAGCTTCATCTTGAACCAGCTCTGTTCCCACATCTCTTTCCATGGTCATGCAAGGCTGAATGATCTGTGGCCTTGATCAGTGGTCCTGGAGGCCATGACTCAGTCAAGAACATTCAGGTTCTCTTCTCAATCTTGGGATCCTTGTGTTCGTTTTTAAAAATAACTTTCCCAGCATGGATTATTTTGTTTGTTTGTTGGCTTCTTCATCTCCCATTCTCTAGATACAAAGAGGATTTTAGAAGAGAAAAACAAAGAAGCTTATTTAGAGGCAATCACTCAGAATTCTAAGATTCCTCCAGAAGAAAGAAGGTTGCAAAGTGCTCTGTATCGGAGATTGCACCCAGATAAGGTACATATTAACTATATTGTAAAAATACTTACCTCTGTGCATTTGCATCTATTGCTAAAATAAATATAAAAAACCAAAAGGAAATCAAAACCAAGAAGAGGATGGAGAGCCCAGCCGACATATGCGAATAAAAATGGCAAGGTTGGAGTTGTTGTTATTATTGTTGTTGTTTTAACTGTTCTTGCATCCTCTACAATGAGATTATTCTAGTCAATTATACTTCTAACACAGCCCTTCCCAACCATGTTAAAAAAATTTCTATATTTCCAAGCTAGAAGGATTAATGGCCAGGGATGATCTGAGTTGTCATCCAGCAGCATGTGAAGACCCTAGATTGGGAAAGGCTGTTCTAATAGAACAGAATGTAAGAAGGTCCATATTGGATCAGACCAAAGGGCCAGCTAGATCACTATCCTGGCCATACGGCGGCCAGCTAGCTGCCAGTGAAAGCACAAGTAGGATCTGCGTGCAATAGTTTCCTCCTACTCATGCTCCACAGCAACTGTACATGCCTTTCCATAGGCATACTTTTTTCCATACTGGAAGTAGCACATAGCCATCAGGACTACAGCTATAGATAACTTTATACTTTGTAAAAGTATCCAATCCTCTTTTAGAGCCTTTTAAATCCATGACCCTCACTATTTATTGTGGTAATGAAGTTCAAAATTTCACTGTATGGAAAAGTGCTTGCTTTTATCTGTCCTGTATCTCACCTGTATGCATCAGGTGATCCCACTGTGTTCTCGTGCTGTGAGAAAAAGAGAAAAATGACTCCGTTTCCATTTTCTCCACTCTTGTCACTTCTTCTACATAAATGTTTCCAATCCCCTTTTAAAAGCTGTCCAAATTGGTGGCCATCACTACATCCCATGAAAGTGAATTCCATTGTTTTGCTATGTGCTGTGTAAAGTACTTCCTTTTACTTAGTCCAAATGAATCAGCTTTGTGTGATAACCCTGTTTACAGTATTGTAGGAAAAGAATAACATCTCCCTCTCCTCTCTCTCCACATCATGCATAATTCCATATGCTACTATCATGACTTCTCTTTTTTCCTGAACTAAATAGTCCCAGATGTTATAACCTTTCCTTGAAGAAGAGTTGCTCCAGACCTCAATTATCTTATCTATCTATCTATCTATCTATCTATCTATCTATCTATCTATCTATCTTCTGCTCAATAGCTGAATCTTTCTGGCAGTTTACAACTGTTAATTGTAAACCATTTTTAATTGCATTTCCTGCACTTTTTCCAAGTCTACAACATCCTGTTTTATGTGTGATTCCAAGTGTGGTCGCACCAGAAATGTGTGTAACTATAGTAAGATATACTTTTCATTTTTTATTCTTTCCTAATTATGCCTAACATGGAATTTTCACAACAGCTGCACACTGGCTTGACATTTTCATTGAGCTGCCCACAGCAGTCCCAACATTTATTTCATGATCAGTCACTTCTAGTTCAGACCCCACCAGCACATTTGTGAAACTGGGGTTTTTGTTTTTTTGTTTTTGCCCTAATGCAAATCACCATACATTTGCCATTTTAATGCCCATTCACCCAGTTTGGAGAGATCCTTCTGAAACTTTCAGCGATCCCTTTTTAAAGTCAGCCCAGTTGATCTGATCTCATAACAAAACTTAGCCACCTTATTGTTGATTCCTATTATTCATTCCAGATCGTTTCTGAGCAATCTGAAAAGCATTGGGCCAAATAGAGATCCCTGTGCAATCCCAGTGTTTACACCCCTCCACTGGTAAAATTTACTACATATTCCTACTGTCTGCTGTCTCCTTTTCAACTATTTACAGATCTATAAGAAGAACTTTCCTTTTATCCTGTAACTGATATGTTTCCTTAGGATCCTTTCGTGAGGGACTTGTGGAACTCCAATTAAACAATGTGTACCAGATCAGATAATAAGTTTCCAATCTTTTTCAAGTTGTTGTAAAGTTATGAGCAACATAGCTAAGCAACTAATATTTATCAGTCCCTTGGAAGCAGAGAACCGAGATCACTGTGTTCCCACTCTAGATGTGGGATTTATTTCACTGACTTAGGAGACATTCAATGAATCAAGCATAGCTGCTAATTCATTTACATTCCCAGAGTGCTACTACATTGACCCAGAGAGGCTGCCAGTAGCTGAGCTCATTGGCCCAGACTCTGTTTGGGATCTAGCAGAATTAAACACTGGGTAAACAGATTTGCTTCTTGAAAGTCAGCACAAGAATACTCAAAGCAGCAAAGCTGGAAACTATGGATTCAAAAGTAATTAGAGATCAAGACATACGGGTGTGTTGTATACCTCGCACTGTACACTTGAAGCATACAGAAGTTTCCTAGTCTCATTGTCCCTGTTGTGATTGTTCTGTGTGGTGGGATGAGGGTGTCCTATGCCCTGTCAAAGATGGAGCAGATGGAAGAAGGATCAAAGCCAACAGGCATGTCCCTTACCTCCACTTCATGCAATTGGTGCTCACATGAACATCCAGATAGGCTACAATGTCTAGCTAATATAGGGCACATTGCACTATAAAATGGGGAAGTAAGTTGATTTAAACAGTTAAATGGCCTGTTATTAATAGCCCAGAAGCAGTTTCTAAAACATGCTGTCCAAAGCAGAAAGGTGAAAGTTTGAGTTTTTCAGCCAAGAAAATTTTCTGTATTTTCTCTTTCCAGGATCTTGTGCTTGACATAAATGACCTTGAAGAAGCTCTCCAGGATGTTAACAAATGCCTGGTTTCTCCCAAAGAGTACTCTTATATTTTCCATGTAAGTTCTGCTGTACCATTTGTCAGCCGTAAGATAGTTATCACGCAAGCTCTCTAAGGGTTCTGCAGTGGAGCCAAAGGCAATATGTCTGGAACATCTTCTGTATGATTTGGAGATTACAAAACAAAAAACAAAACCTGTTTTGGCAGCTGACTCACAAGGTTTATATTTTATCCATTTCGCCAACCTCGTGTTCAGTGTCTGGGAAGCTAATGCAGTGCATAGCTGCATATATTGGTAATGGCAGTGGTTCACTGAAATAGTCTGAAGAATAGTAGGCTCATGTAACAGGATTAAGGGTTTCTCCTACCTGGCAAAATGAGGGCAGGGAGTTTTTCATCTACTGTAAATTGTCCTTAAGCTCATCCACTTACTAGAATTCTAGATGTCATTTGGGTGAATCATATGTTCCAGTCAGAAATTTTTCCCTCTCACGCAGCCTGCCCCAATGTAGTAAAGAAAGTCTTGAGCTAGAAGAGTTGGGGTATTTACAGAGGTGGAAAACGCCATTTAATAAACCATAGATATTGTTAATGTGGCAGAGAAATTGGCTGAGACCTGCTCGCAAATCAAATATATTTTCCAGCCATCCTGGAAGAAGTATAACTACTGTAGATTTATAATGAAAGCATAACAAATGCACACCCATATTCCTGGCCCCAAATTAAAACATAATTTGTGCAAATCAACTGTGGTCTCACCCTTAGTCCCTGGCTCTTTTCATCATCACTGGGATCTCTAGGCCTAACTTCTTTGGTCTTTCCTTTCTTGTTCTCTCTGCATTTGTCAGTAGTCTTGGGATACACAGGGCTCTGCTTACCTTAATTTGTACTCTATATGACTAATAACAATACTTACCATTCTTAGCAACAACCACAAACATATCAAGGGAAGGTCCAAGAAAAATAGCCTGTTTTCGGGGCCTTCTTAAAGGCCTTCATTGGCAGGGTCTGGCGGCTCCTTAATGACAACATATTCCAGATGTACGGAGCCCTTGCAGAAATGCTCCCTCTCTCTTGTTGTCGCTCAACTAACCCTCTCCCAAGGGGCCATCCACAGATATGCTTCACATTTGCCTACTGCCAAGGGAGGACAAGAGGGCATTTTCAGTGGTGGCCTCACACCTCTGGAATTGGCTTCCATCAAAAGTTTATCAGGCCCTCTTCTTTGGAGATCTTCTGAGCATCTCTTTAGGGCATATTCAGTTTTTGGTATTCGCTTGTATTTTTGTGTAGATTTTATGGACACTTGTTTTAATGTTTTAACCATTTGTGAACCATTCTGAGAGCAATGAGCTGGGAAAATGATATATAAAAAATAAATCTATGAAGACATTCATATTTTTATTGGCTTTCCTGGGCTGCAGGATTTATTGGTATGATTTGTTTTTATAGTTTTGTAGTATTTTATTGTATTTTACTGCCTATTTGTATATTTTTATATGGCTTTTATTCTGTACTCCACCCTGTGTGGGTTAATTTAAACCATTTAAAATTAAATAGATAAATTATTTGGGATAAAATGGCAACCCCACTCCAGTGTTAAGCACTGAGACTGGTTTGGCACTGAGAATTAGTTGTTTAACTTCATGAGTAATGAATCTAGTTCATCTTTTTTAAAAAAAGCAACCAGAAATGGTAATTCCAGAATCTTCTGATTGGTTAAAAGGGCAAAATAAACCTGGATGTAAGTCATTCCAGTGGTTTCAGCAGACATCTTTTCTTGGACATTTGTGGCACTTCTCATTACATTTCGTTCCTCTAGGTGTGTTATTTTCACTCTTAGAAATGTAATTAAGGTGTTCATTACTTTGTGAAGAAAATCTATGGAGAACATGCTGTACAAAATAATATTTGAGGCTGATGTGACCAAAAAACCATCAATCGTAGCGGCAATTTGTAATTTGTGAATTACAGGTTCAAATATATTGGAAGGGAAATGGTTTAGTAGGCTTCACACCCTCAAATATCCAGGCTTCCCCTCACTTTCCTTCAAGTTAAATTCTTAGAATTTTGTGTGCAGCTCTTCAGTCTGTGTAGCAGAGCTTCACAAGTACAAATGTTTTTCTTCTCCCTACCCAGCAATTTGGAATAGCTTTACACACCTTTTAAAGTAAGGCCCTCTCAATACCATACAAGATAAAAACAATACAAGAATAAACAAAGAAAGGCAAAGAATAAATGCTCAGTAGCAAGCTACAAACAACACCCTACACAGACCCACAGAGAATAACATTGATTGTTTCTTCCTCTCCAGCTATCTTTAATGGAAAGCATGGATCTGTACAGACTCACTGCAGGCTAATCGCTGAACTTCCTTGCTGAAGAAAAAAACAGTTTGGTCACATCCTTTTGCCGCATGGGGGGTGGGGGGCTGGGGAGGAGATGTGAAAACATTTGAATTGGCCCGAAATAAAAGCACATGCTTCGCACACTAGTAACCGACCCCAGAAGGAGGGAAAGAAAAAAACCCTCAGTCTTCTTGGCTTTGAACATTTGGAACAGGAAGCCATTTAGAGCTGGAATGCATGCCTTGCTGGTCCAAGAAACACCCATTCATATTACTCCTGGGCTATCGAAAAAGGTTGAGGTGAAAAAGCATAATTTATAAGCAGACCCTCTTTTCCTGTTTTGTTTTGATTTTTTCCCCCCGTTTCTGCCAAGTCTGTTTTTCAAAATTTGTATTAAGAAACACATTTTCCTTCTTTTCTACTTGCCTTCATTTTATTTACTCAGCTGTGCATTCACCCCAATTGATAGCTCCTGCTCTTACCTGGCTGCAAATCCAAACAAAGAAAGGCAGAGGTGCGTGTTATCCCTTCATGGCTTCTCAGGTAAAGCAGGAATCTGGGTGGAGATGAAGCTACTGTGGGTTATGAGCAGACTTTCTCACATTCAAGACAGTCCAAACTTTGCTTTAGAAGGATAATACAGAAGGCAGGAAGAGGAATGCTGCTTAAGGGACAGTGTAGCCTAAAATACCCTTGTCCTGGGGTCTCCAGCATGGGGACCATGTGCATAACTAGTGCTTAGATACCTTTTTCAGCACCTGCCAGGCTCCCTGGCCCCCTGATTTTTATTTTATTTTTTCAGGTTATTTTTATTTATTTTATATAACTGGGTGGTTGGCATGCTGCAAATAAACTGGGAGGTTGGCATGCTGCAAAGTGAAGTGCTGCTAGCACCATCTTTGCTTGGGAGCAAACAATTTGTGTTTGGAACTCTTGCACCATTTAATTTCTTTTAGTCTCACTAGTTTGTCTTCTGAGAAATGAGCATTAGAGGGCCACCATGCCAGACTTTTTATGAATGGGAGCCCCCCAAATCAGCAATTTTGTGATAATGTCCATGGCATTCTCCAAAGTCCAGATGAGTCTTGTAGAAAATCAGACTGTTTGCTAAAATTAATGAGTACAAATGAAGTCACTTCAGAGAGAAGACAAGGCCTCCTGTAGAAACTTTAGCAAACAATCAAAGCTACAGCTAAAGCATCACCAAATGTATTGCTTTCAATACTGCTGTGAAGCTTCTCTCATTTGGCCATTGCAAAGAATGTTTATGAAGGCATAGAAACATAAGCCGAAGGATATGGAGCAATTCATGGAATGTATGGTTCTTCTGCTGAAGTAGAATATTGTATATTCACTCATGTAAGGATATTGCAGGGCAGCTGATCTGTGGTGCCAAAGCTCTAGCTGTGCTCTTTGATCTTCACTCACTCATCCACACGTGCAAGTCACCAGCTAATGAAATTAGGCATCAAGTGATGCACATAACACATGTGTGTTCTATCCAGCCCTTGGGAAAGTGTGGGATGTGTTTTACCAAAATATACAAGACTATAGCCTGTGGAATTCTGTATCTAATTAAAATTCTGTCAAGCAAATGGGTTGCAAGGGATGCTCAGGTGTTGTCATTCATGTATTGACTGTGGTTTTGCACCCAACCAATAACTGGTTAGGAGCACAGATATAGGGAATATATCTTGAACCTACCACTTATGCCAGTTAGCACATGAGGGAAGTGTACTGAGGTCTTGCTATTTCAGAGCAAAAAGAATTCTGCAAAGGATTCATCCCACCTTCAAACATTGAAAGAGGGAGGAAAAGATCTCCTCTGTCTGTCAAAATCCTTGCAAAACAAACTTGAATTATGACTTTCCCTTACAAACTGTAATATAAAAAACAGGTCACATCGTGAACTTTTTCAAAGGCTCAAAGTTAACCACTGGCAATAAACATATTGCACCAATAATTTAATGCAGGAATTATGGTACAGCAGATGCTATTTGGGGTCTGGCTGTTGAATACTGCAGTAAAATCCAAGCTGTGGTAGAATGATCTTCTTATCCCACCACCAGGGTTTGAATACACACTGAGTTTTTGTTAATGAAAGTGAGCACTAACATTGGGAGCAAGGGAGGGGGTAGTTTCTTCAAGAACTCTGACAGTTTAACTAGGCCATTCAAGCCTTCCCTCAAACACCTGTGATTCTACATACTGCCCTCAAGCTGGAGTAGAGGCAATATGCCAGTATTCTGCATGCTCAAGTTACATAGCTGTGAGCATCCCCTTCATAGCCTCCATGTAGCTTCCTAGAGAAATCTGGCTAGATGTTACCAAAATCTGGCTAGATGTTACCAAAATTGTTACGAGATGTTACCTAAGTACGTAATATATGAACTGTATTACAAATTCTTCATTGTGTAACAAAAACACATTCACCCACAAATTTAAAGGCTGTAATAGATCCATTGATGGATTAATTACCCAAAAGCAGGGAAGTCAATCGATTAGTGGTCTAATCCCAAGATTCCTGATGTCAGCAACTGATTTCATAAAAGTGGATATGCTGATCCAGAGATCCATGCATGCCCTGTTAGCTTTGACAGCATTGATCTCTTGGTTCTGTGTTGTGTGAATGGTTCATGATCCAACCCTGAAGCATAAATACCACCCCAAATGCTGGAAGCAGAGTTCTAGTTTAGTATCACATGCAAATGCAGTCAATAGCTTTCCATTGCACAGAATTATATTCACACAAAATTATATTTGCTGGCATATTCATTACTTCAAATGTTCAAGACCAAGGTTTCATCAACTGATACCCTAATTGATTTTGAAATTGCTTCTTTCTCTTCCAGATTCTTGAACTTCCAGGTCAATACAGACTAAATCTTGAACTCTTCTGTATAATAGCAGCTCCATCTGAGAAAGTGACTCAACTCGAGTAAGTGCACGTGCCTAAGCCCATCTAAAATCACCCATTGGTTTAGTGACAATGCTCATTTCGCTGTTTCAAATTTAGCAACAGAAGAGCAAAACTTAAGGAATAAAATGTTTAAATTGAAAAGCATATCAGATATTTTTACATAGTCAACTCCAGATGAGCTCAATATGGTAGGGATTCAGGATTAAGTCATACTGGATGTGATGCAAAGTCAATTCACACAATCACTCTTGGGTCTTTGGAAATAACAAATCCAAGCTTGGTTTTGATGAATGCATTTTAGCTTATTTTTCCACTGAATTGGCATTGAAAATCTCACACACGTCTTAAAAGGATGCGTGTATGGAGGGGGTGGGTATCCAATGCAATCCTCATACAAGAATACTTGCACCAAAATATTCTTCTCTTCTCCTTCATGCAAGCTCCTATCCCTATTTCCCCACACAAAATTGCTCAGGGTTATCTTTCTATGGGGCACTGCCACATCTGAAACATTTTACTTTTAGAGGATTAATGTTTTTACTGGTTTATTTATGGCCTATATGAAAAGTTGAGTTTCTGAAGTAAGTATACAAAAAGTCAGACAAACAAGTTATTTATATGTCAGAAATACTAGTACAAACCCAGTAACCTTGAAGTTTATTTATTTATTTATTTATTTATTTAGGAAACTTCTATGCCGCCCCATTCGTGGAAGCCTCGGAGCGGCTCACAAACAGTTCCTTGAACTGACATGGCACAGTTCAATTTTTACTAACAATCAGCTTAAGGTCTATGGGGTTATTCAGGAACTGACTGAACTCTGTGTGTGGCACAGCAAGGGAGCATATAAAACCATAATAAAATGTAGCATCTTCAAGTGACCATATCAATTAAGTCATTTTACAAGTATCAAGCTGTTTATTTTTCTAGCAGGCAGTCTAATGAAGTCATCCTTGGATGGAAATATCAAACTTTCTTACGTGTCGTCTTCATGCCATCAGTAAACATTAAGTAACTGAAGCTAAGTGTGTGTGTGTGTGTGTGTGTGTGTGTGTGTGTAGAATATATATATATATATATTCAGGTTGTTACAGAAGTCTGAACTCAAAATTGCATATCTCATGAAAAATTTTCTTCCTAAATGAAGTCCATTTATTCTTGAACTAGAGCTGCCACCAGAACTGATCGAAGGCCAAATTCGGGTTGTTCAAAATAATGTGGCATGATTTTTGGAATTCAGTTGTTTTTCATCAAATCTACTAAATGTTAATGCTGGGAGAAACTCTAGACATGTGCAGTGATTTCTCATTTTACATAAATGAGCCTTATGTATTCCTACAGTCTCTGTATTAATCCTAATATGGTTAAATGACTCATGTTTTAAGTACAAATTTTATACTGAAGTATACTTCTAATAAACATAAGATGCTTGCATAATAACAGATCACCCCACCCCACACTCTAAAATCTGGGAAGATTTTAAGCAAGGATGCTCAAAACTAATGACAGACACAGCACAGAAGTCCTTTTTTCTCCTTTCCTTTTATTCTTCCTCTTTTCTCCTTAATCAAACTGAGATGGTTCTAAAGAAGTACAAGAAGTACTAAACTTACTGACATTTCTTTCCTGCCTTTGAACTTCTCCCAGAAGCCACTCCAAAGGGTGGCGGGTCCTAGAACAACATGGGATGTGGTACTGTGGGAGCAGGATGGCCACATATGCATTGCTGAAAGAGAGGAATTATATCACCAAAGAGTACAAAAGAAACACCAGTTTGCATAATATTTGCATTTGCTAATTTATATGTTTATAGATGCAATTATAACTGTATTTTAAACACAAATACAATTCACTTCCCTGTAGTAGGAAAAATTGACCAGTGACACCTGCTTGACCCACTGTTCAGGTGTTAGTGTGGTAGTGTGAAAATGCCATTAATTAATTAATTAATTAATTGTGTTTGGACAGGAGCTTACAATTGTGCAAATTTTCTAGTCATTGTTACCTGAGGATTTTTTAAGGGGCAAATTTTGACAGAGGGATAGAAAGAATCATAAGCAAAATATCCTGGAGGAGTTTTTATCTGATGATCTACAAACAGCTTTGCAGAATAAGTGAAAATTCACAAGATGTGTAAGGTAAGGGGACATTGAGATCTTGGGTAATGGCCAGCAAGGCAGACATGATTAAAGATATGATTGGATGAGCATCACAGTGACATCATATAGCAAGATCACATATGGCATACATAGTTGCTTTTGCCAGACTAACTGAATTCTTGAAAATGACACACACAGCTGTCTTGAGAATTCAAGGGTTATAAACGCTCTCGGTGAAGATTATACACTTTGATTCATGCTGGGGGAAAATATGGAACAGAGACAAACCAACTTGTTTTGTCCAAATATGTCTCTTGCTGACAGCCACTCCACTCACATTGCGAAAGTAGGGCGAAATGATAGTTGTGAAAGTGGATGTGATAGCAGTTATGTACAAGCAGGCTACCGAGTAATGCATGATGTTATTTTCCTCCACTGACTGCAATATTTAGGACATGCCTTTGGCTATAAACAGCGTGGTCCAGCCGATTCTGGAAACTCTGTAGTAAGGGAAACGACTGTTCACTCACTTCCACAACACTTGCAAGTGTAAGAAATGCCAGTGTTGCATTGGATGGATGCCATGGCTTATTAGTTTCTGTGCCCCTAAGAACTCAACTATACACTTGAGCAGTAGCAGAATTAAATTCCAGAACAAACTAAAAATAGAGCCTTTTTCCTTCTTGCGGAGGGGGAAAGAACTTATCTCTGAAGCACTGGGTATTTTCTGCCATCTCAGAAAGTGAGACATTTTTGGTCTCCAAGGAAGTTAGCCTTTTGCCTGAGAGACTGTTTCCTTTAGAACCAAGAGAGAAGCTGAGGGGATGCCTTTGCTGCTTACCTTGGCAACCATGCATTGCTAAATACTCTTCCTATGAATGCAGGCCTTTCAGTGCCATTTGCCCTTGCCCACAGTTATAAACATTCTTCCATGAAAAAGGTTGAAGGAACTGTATGCTGCATAGATTTTTAAAAAAATGATAAACAAAAGCATATTATACAACAGGATAGTTTCATAAAAACCAATTAGGTTTGAAGATAAGATAGGTCTTTAATTCTGGATTATCAAGATGCTCGGATTTCCTTTCAACACATAGAGTTAGTCGCCTTACTGGACTCTGGTGGTGAAGAATCGACCAAGGGAAAGCTTAACAGGATTTTCTGGTTTCTGTAAAATGGCAGAATGTGGGCAATATATGTTGAGGGCAGCTATAAAGGAATAGCATGATTCCCACTGTTCTTTCTTGCTGGCGTGAGGCTCAAGAAATAGACTACAGCAAAGATACAACTGCACAGGGCTGCTAACACCCCCTCCCAGTTCCCTGCCCAAGTTCACAGGCATTTTTTAATGTCTCACTAGGCAAACACTACAGGCAAAATTCTCAAAATATTTACCAATACACAGTTCTTGTGCTGGAATAAAAAGGGATTTATTGTTCCTCCTTTCCAGTAAATGAGGCAGTTGCGAAGGAGCTGAATCAAAAATAATTCACTCACCTCCCTTTAGTAAACTGGAATTTGGTGCATACTGTATCAGTCATGGAGTTTATATTATTTTTTAAAGTGGGCTTGCCATTCCAGTAACTTCATGTGTATTTTACCTGCGGAGGGGTTTTAAAAAGACATAATGGTCATCATAGCTTCTAATATGACACAAGCAAAGCACTAGGGGAAAATCTTACATTCACAAAAGCACAGCTGATGTGTCTCATGGAGAAACTCAATCAAGAGCTAGTGTGAATGTCAGTTATGTAATCCTAAACCTGGACGTGGAGCTTTTACCTGAAGAATGCTGCTCCAGTTAGTGCTAGGGTACTTGCAAACAAGACTTTTAATCTGTAATCGCTCTGCCTTATTCACTTAATGTTATGGGGGTCAAAATTTTGCCTTCTGTTTGTGACCTTCCTACACTTACTCACCAGTTCTTCCATCTTCTTTCTTTCCATAGAACATTCATTAAGAATGAAAAAGAAGGAATGGTCTTTTTATTGTTAGGATTAGGAACACTCCATCTGTAAACATCCCTAGGCCTAAGAAAACAGCCTGAAGGTGATCCATCACTGATTTAAGCTTGACAATCTTCGGATTGTAGCTATCTAGTAGGAAAAAGCTATCCAGCTAGGTCATTTGTATATAATGCATAAGAACAGAAGAAAAGCCCTTCTGAATCAGTCCAAAGGTCCATCTGGGCCAACGTCCAGCTTCCAACTGTAGTCAGCCAAATTCCTCTGAGAAGCCCACAAGCAAGGATGAAAGCAATTACCCTAGCCCACATCCTCACTTATGCCAGAGGCAACTGATATTCTGAGACACATTATATCTGAAGACAAAGTTCAAGTAACTATCATAACTAATGGCCAGCTTAATGATTCAGCTTATTGATGATCATTAACACTTTTTTTGAAAAGTAGAAGTGAGAAATTCTCTTCTAATTCTGTGAAAATGTAGTTTATGTCTTCTCACTTTGCTTGCATATAATAATAACTTCAGGTGCTAATAGCAGTCTATGTGACTGCACACCTTTTTCTTCTTTCTAGCATCTTTTATATGCTGTTTACTTTGTGGTTGTTTCAATTTATCTAGTTATCTGGTACTTAATGCTAGTAAGGCAGTATTCTATGCAAGGATGTCAGTTTTTGAAAATAACATGGAATTCACCTAAGGGAAGATGCTCAACAATCTAAGTCACAAAATTCAAATACTTTTGACAGAACTCAGGACCAACTCATGGACCAAAACATGTAAGCTGAGCATTGCCAAATAAAACATGCAGAGCACTTAATCAGCTACAAGTGGGAGCCACACACCAAGAGCCTGGTGGCAATCCATCAAGACCAGAAAAACTAGCTACCTTGGCCATCCACTTCACTTTCTGGATGGAAGGCGAACACTTCAAACATTCTCACACAAGAAGGAAAAAAAATGGTACCTCCTAAACCTAGTTAGAAATTAGGTAGCTCAAAAAAAGAGTCATCTTTCTGTTGGCTCAAAGATTGACTGGTTAAACCTATTTTTCCCTCCCCAAGCATGAGACATTCCCCTGATAGAGAAATATTTCCAGTTTGACCATTTCCCTCTCATAGCTACACTCAGTTTTAAAAATTGTATTATCTTTCTGATTTTGGATCATGAAGTTACTGGATTTGTATTTTTAGCAATTTTATAAATTAGCATATTTCTATTTCTTCCTCTCTCTCTCTCTCTCTCTCTGTCATGTCATCTCCTCCTCAACCACTTTGTATAGAATTGGCTTCCTCCCAGTAGTACATCAGATTGGCACCATCATGCTCCAAACTGTGTCCCAATTGGAAGGTTTCCCATTGCCCTGTGAATGCCAACAATTAAACCATTTATGTGGCTCACAGTCAACTCCTTTGCTTTCTTAAGGCTTTGCAGAACAAAACTTCATGTTCATTGCTTGGAAAATTAAGTGAACAATGCCACACTTTGCTGCTGCAAAACTTACTATCCTGAAACCATCCAGCACAAAGTGTTTTTCTTGATGTCATTACAGCTCCTAAACAGTAAAGGGATTTCAGAATTGCAGACTACTCTTTTCACTGACATGCAAATTATTTCAATTTGAAAAATACACTCATCCCTTTGTCTTTTAGGTAACTGTGGAGATCAACAAATGGAGGTAGAACCAGGTAGATGCCTGCACTTCTGTAGGCCTCCTGTTGCAAAATCTTAGAAAGCTGAATTACTGATGTGCCATCACCAGATATTTTAAACAATAAACACTGCCTCTTCCATAAGAATTTGATATCGGTAACTACAGCTGAAGAAGGTTCCCACCAAAAAGATATTAAAGCAACTAGTGATGTTGTATAGGTAGCATCCTGTGAGTGACAGCATTAAGTCAATGGCATTTTGGAAGCCATGTGTGAGGATTGCATGAAAATATACATTATGACACTTCACTTGGATGTAAACTCCAGCTTAGGTCTGATCTATCTGAAAGGTCTTTCTCATATGTTCCTTCCTAGTCGCTAAAGTCATCTTCAGAGGCATTTCTCTAGGTACCACTTCCCACAAGGGTATGACAGAGAAAGTGGAAGTAAAATATCTCTCTATTAGAGTAGGTCAAACAATAAGGATTAATTGGATAAAGTAGGGGGCACAATCTGACGTAAAGAAATTTTTCTTCATTTAAAAAAGCAAGAAATTAGGTAACATGACAGAAGTGTGGAGCAGGATTATCATATCTGTGCTTCGTTCCTCATTGTGAGCCTTTGAGATAAGGCATACCTGAAATGAAAAGAAACAGAGCTGCATATCACTAGTGTATTTTTGGCCCTGCACTCCAAAACTCTGCATGACCTCATTCAGTGATTTCATGTGGATACTTAATACGTGCAGGACAAACTGAGGCATGAGAATCACATGCTGGAGAATCCACAAGGTGGAGCAATATTCAGAAGCTGGCCATGCAAGTAAAAGCAAAAGCATTGCAGTGCTGTAGCCCCTCCACGATTCCCAACCTAGAGTCATCCCAGAAGAATACTCTAGTTGATAGCATTGAAAGCCACCAAGAAATCCAGGAGGATCATACTCCCTCTGTCTCCCAACATAAGGAGGCTAAAGCTGTTTCTATACTAAAACCTGACCTG